TCTACTCCGTATAATAGGATAGAAAATACATAGCATCTAATGAGAGAGATTTTGAAAGCAAGTAGTAAAACATGACTTCTGAAAAGGGACTTCATCATTATGAACGCTGATCTCGCTTTTCCTATGCGTTGTTTTATTTCACTGGAGTGATCCCATTGGCTGTTAATGTTGGTACCAAGGTATGTGTAGCTGTCCACTCTGTCAATTGGATGTTGGTTAACCAAAAGCTGTGTATTTAATATTTCGCACTTACTGACTACCATGTACTTTGTTTTCTTCGTTTTAAGATCAAGTCCATGTTCTCTACTTATATGTGATATACGCGACATTATTCTTTGCAAACGGTCCAGACTATCTGCAAAAACTACTGCGTCGTCGGTATATCTAATGTTGTTTAGACGCATTCCGTTGACTAATACGCCTTCTTGTAGTTTTCCCAGCGCTTGCTCGAAGATATATTCAGAGTATATATTAAATAACACCGGGGACAGAATGCATACTTGCCTCACTCCTCTATCTATGGAGACTGCCTCTGTCAATTGATCATCCACTTTAATATTGGCTGTTTGGTTGGAATATAAATTATAGATGATTCTCAAGTCACTATCATCTAACCCCACTTCTTTCAAGATGTTTATAAGTTTAACATGTTTTACTCTATCAAATTCCTTTTTGTAGTCGATAAAACAAATATACACATCGCAGTTAACATCCCTGCATCTTTGTATAAGCACTTGGACAGCGAATAGAGCCACTGGGGTGCCTCAGGAATCGCGGAATCCAAACTGCGTCCATGATATCTGTTTTTCGCATGTTTTTATATATTCTGCCGTGTATCACTTTCAAGATCGTTTTAAGTAAGTGGCTCATTAGGCTAATTGTTCTGTAGTCTTCGCATGTCTTGGCATTTACTTTTTTTGGTATGGTCACGAAGGTCGACTTCAACCAGCTTTGGGGTATTTTTCCAGTTACGTATATGTTGTTGAATACAGTTGTTATCCATTTTATTCCCTGTTCATCCATAAGTTTAAGGAATTCCGCAAGAACTGACGTCAGGTCCGTTAGTTCAGTAATTAGTCGGTGTAATTAGAGTTCTTTTTTGCTCGATACATTAATTGATATGAAAATGGCCAAGGTTACGGTAGCGTAGTGCTACACTCTCTATGCCTCATATATTATAAAAACTTATGCTTCTTTACGGCTTCGTGCATAGGTGGCGCTAGTAGTCCAAATATAATAAAAAAAAAGCTAAACGGCACTTTTATGAAAATTATGAGAAATATGTTCTCTCTCGGGATCTCTTTACCCGAGGGGGCTATTTAACCCGAATTACCCCTATGATAAACAGATGAGAAATTTTATAGTAATATTTTTAACAATTGTTTCAAATCAAACTTAATCAAAAACATATTAAAATTGGAAATAAAAAATCAACAAATTTGTACAGACTTATGCTTTATGCTAAGAATTACGAACTATTGCGAGTTTTTAAACCTCATCATCACAGTCATTAACATCTTAGTAGATGTGTTGTGGTTCATAATTGGGCTTCAGCAGCTCGGACAGTTTGATTGATAATATTTCTCCACTGGTCGCGGTCATCAGTTATATGTATTGCCTCAGTATACTGTTTATTGAGAAGCTTTTTAGTAATGTCCGCCCATCGCTGTGGAGATCTTCCGCGTTGGCGTTGAGTCTGAGGCCTTCCTTGGACCACCAACCGCTCCATTTTGTGATCACTTCGATGGATATGGCCAAAGAACTTTAAAATTCTAGAGTAAACGGTACTGGAGAGACGCTGATCCGGTTTAATTTCATCCAGAACCGAGATATTTGTACGGCGAGCCGTCCATGGAATTCGAAGCAGGCGTCTCCATGTCCACATTTCAAAGGCGTCTATACGTCGTCGATCTGATTCTTTGACTGTCCATGTCTCGCATGCATAGTAAAATATGGAAAAGACCAGAGTTGAAACGAGTCTCTTTTTGTTTGTCATAGTAATGTGACGATCACGCCAGACCCCGTTTAGTTCACTCATTGCTGCTCTTGCTAGTTGAATGCGTCTTCTAATTTCGGATTCACAACTGCCTGTGTTGTTAACTAGAGCTCCAAGATATATCATAGATGAGACTACCTCGCATCCCGCAATAGTTTGGGTTTCAGGAAACTGTTGTTGGCGATCAATAACCATGATTTTGGTTTTGTTGTAGTTAACCATGAGTCCAAATTTAGCACTTTCTACCTCGAGTTTTTTTAATAATTTAGTAATTTCTTCTGGAGTAGAGGCTAGAAGTGTAGTGTCGTCTGCGAAACGCAAGTTAGATATCTTAACACCACCTAGGTTTACTCCTCCCTCCCAACCATCCAAAACTCTGCGCATTATGAACTCCGAATAGATGTTAAATAATAAGGGAGATAAAACGCATCCTTGGCGTACTCCCTTCTCCAAAGTGCATTTGTCAGACAGATATCCGTCCATTCGAATATATGCCAGGTTATCTTGATACAGTTTGCTAATAAGGTGAGTCAAGTGTTTAGGTACACCCATTGTCGTCAATATGTTCCATAGTTTGTCCCATCTAACATTATCAAAGGCCTTTGTATAATCGACGAAACATATAAATATCGGGATCTGGTATTCTCTGGCTTTTTCTATGATGTTTCGTACATTAAGGATTTGTTCTCTAGTACCTCTGCCCTTTACAAATCCAGCCTGCTCAGGTGCTATTTGCCAACTTATGAAGTTTTCTAGACGCCGTTGCAGTATGTAGAGGATCACCTTACTGGCGTGTGATATTAGAGCTAATAGCCTGTAGTTGTTACAATTATTTGTTGAACCTTTCTTATGAAGAGGTATGATTATGGTCTTTCTCCAATCCTCAGGCCAGACGCCTGTGTGCCATATTTCATTGCACAATCGATGTAATATTTTCACTCCACATTCCGGAAGATGCTTCAAGACGTCTGCAGTAATGAGATCATATCCTGCTGCTTTGTTTAACTTAAGTCTTTTTAAAGCGAATTCCACCTCGGAAAAAAGTATGTCAGGTTCAGACTCAAAACTAGTGTGGTGTGTCTCTGTTGAAGGAGAATGGAAAGTGGAGGTCTGGCAGTCAGGTACAAACGGGGCGTCCGCTGGCATCTGGTCCGTATTGGCGTATAAAGACTTACAATACGCCCTCCAAACATCAATAACCTTGTCCAAATCCGTCTGTACATTACCTTCATCATCTTTGATAGACCAAGATTTCTGCTTGAATTTACGTGTGAGTTGTCTGACTTTATCAAAGAGTTCTTTGGTGTTATTTGTGTCGGCGTGTAGTTGAATTTCTCTGCAGATTTTCTCTATATGCTTGTTTTTGTCTCGTCTACAAGCAGCCTGAATAGCTCTAGATAGCTGTCGGTACTGGGAATTCCTGAGAGGGTTCTCGATTCCAGCAATTTTAAGTTTTCTACGTTCTTCAACGAGGTCAAAAGTATCTGCAGACATCCACACTTTTTTTGGTCCGGTTGAGACGGCATTAGACTGTGCCTCGCAGTCAGTCAAGGTCTGTATCAAGGTATTTTTAAAAGATAACCAAATCTTTTCGGAATCATGAGTGACGATAGTTGGTAAAATATTTTCGAATCTTTCATTACATTGGATTTTAAATTGTTGTGTATCTTTTATTTTTGATATCCTCTTGTTTCGGATCCTAGCACATGCCTTGAATTTTTGCTTTAGCGTTGCAACAAGAAGTTGGTGGTCAGAGCCGCAGTCAGCGCTAGGTCGTGTTTTACATTGGCTAATAGATGTTTTCCAGCGATGTTTAATCATTATGTAATCGATCTGATTTCGGTGTCGTCCGTTAGGTGAGATCCAAGTGTACAATCTTCTGGGGTGGTGCCTATACATAGAGTTCATTATTGTCAAGTCATTGTCAACGCAGAACTGGATAAGGCGGTCTCCCCTTGAATTGCGTTCACCTATTCCATATCTACCCACAATATTTCGTATATGTTCGTCAGCCATAGTAACACCGATTTTTGAGTTTAAATCACCCATGATGATAGCGATTTCTTTATTTGGGATATTTTGCAGATATGATTCCAGCTCGTTGAAAAAAGATTCAGTTGTATCATCATCAGCAGTTGAGGTAGGCGCATAGACCTGAATCAAATGTACAATAGAGGGAGATCCATTTAGTTTTAAGGAAATTATACGATCACTGATAGCTTGATATCCCAGTATATAAGGAGAAAGAGATTTTGAAACCCAGAAGCCAACACCATTGATACTTTTGTTAGTGTTGCCGGAAAAGCACATGAAATGTCCCAAATTAGTTATGTAGTGCCCCTCGTTGCGGAAGTGAAGTTCAGAGAGCCCGGCCACAGAGATATTGGTTCGTTCCAGTTCCTTCTCCAGAATAGCTTGTTTGCCCGGTTGTAAAAGACCACGGACATTCCATGTAGCTATGTTGTATGGTTTGCGGTTATTAAGTTTTTGTTTTTCACCAGTAGCACATTTCGCATGTAAAGCCTGATGAGTCACGTCTACATGCCCGGTAACTGATTTCACACATTCCTCCCCGGACGAGAAGATGCGCCGGGTGCCATCCGGATCGCGAAGCTCATCATCCGAGGCCTCGCAGCTATTGCTCATATCATGAACTTTCGTGGGTGAAATAAAGGGGTGGTTTCCCGTTGCCTTCCCCTTTGGTTGGGAGTGCTAATAAGGGAATTTGTTTAAACAGGGTTGGTAGGAAAGGACAGTGGTATCTACTGTTTGGACTTAGTAGATATACCAAGGCTCGCGTGGGCAGGGTCGCATACCTGAAGTAGGACTATCACCTATTGGGTTTATAGACGAGTCTCTACCCGCTACCCTGAGGAAATTAGGAGTGTGTGAATGGGGAGAGGCGCAAGTTACGCAGTTTTGTGTTTTTAAACCTAGTTGACTCGATAAATAGTAAACATACTTTGTAGATTAAAACTAAAACTATTTCGTTATTATTTTTTAGGTTTTGGTATATAGACATTGCATCGAAGTTAATCCTCTTCTGTTTTCTTATATGGCTCCTAACGTTCAAGTTACAGATTATTCCTCATATATTTACTGCAGTTCAAAACTACTATACCAATTTATAGAACACAAGATAACATGAGACGTTTTCGTTATCGACGAGAGCTAAAAGAAGCTTACGAGTACTTATCTATTATAAATAGCTTTTCGCTTTAGATATTATTGATTATTGTTAGCTTTTACGTTCCTGTTGAATAATTGTAAACATTCAAAGTAACTCTTTAATGGACGTCTTACATTTGTTAAAAATTATTGTTGATTATCTGTTTTCCAGAAATGCATGTTTTTATAAATAAAAAGATACAAGACAACTGTTTTTTTTTATTAAACCAGCTTTAACCATGGGTTTATTATTATTAATCCAATTAAGTTTACTAAAAGTAAAGTCTCATCTGAAAAAACTAAATCAATAGTAGTCAGCAAAAAACCAACCAGATGTAAAATAGAAATTAGGCATCAGTATTGAACAAGTAATGGAAATAAAATACCTTGGAATTACACTGTTCAGCTACGTAGACCTGGACAAAGAAGTGAGAGATCAATTACAAAAAGAAGCAGACTGGCAGGATGCCTTAATAACACCTAATGGCGAAACAGAGACATTAACACTGAGATGAAGTCAAGAATTTATAAAGCCAGTGTAGGACCAATAATGACATAGGCCTCAGAAACAAGACCCGACACAGCTACAACACAAAGGCTGCTGGTAACGGCAAAGATGAGAGTACTGAGAAGAATTACAGGAAATACGCTGAGAGATCGAAAGGGAAATAAAGACATTAGAAGAAAATATAACGTACCTACAGTTCATAAATGAATGAACAGAAAATAGAAAAAAAAATGGAATAACCACATAAACAGAATAAGGTCTCATCAAAATTGCAAAAGATAAGTCACCAATCTTATGTGTACCTTGGCACCAACGTAAATGCAAAATGGGAACAGACCATAGAAATTAAGGCAAGAATAGAACGAGCTAGAGCAGCATTTAGCAATATGAAAAAGCTCCTCATAAGCAATGATTTGTCTCTTCCCCTAAAACTACGTATAGTTAAATGCTACATTTTTCCCGATCTTGTTGTATGGCGTGGAGGCCTGGACGCTGACGGAGACGCTAACGAGAAAACTCGAAGCATTCGAAATGTGGGTGTACTGACGCATTCTTCGTATATCCCTTACCGAACATGTCACCAACATAGAGGTACTCCAAAAAATCGGAAAGGAGAAAGAAATCGTGAATACAATTAAACAAAGAAAGCTTGAATATCTAGGCCACATATTGAGACACGATAAGTACCGTCAGCTACAATTAATTGTCCAGGGAAAAATAGACAGTAAGCGAGGGCCAGGCAGGAGAAGACACTCGTGGCTCCAAAATCTGCGGAAGTGGTTCGGGATCACATCGGTCGAACTATTCAGAAGCGCCGCAAACAAGATCAAAATTGCCATGTTAATAGCCAACGTTCGCAACGGACGGGGCACTTGAAGAAGAAGAAGAAGTCACCAATCGACAAAAGAAGTATCAGACTACCAAAACTAGCAAAAGATGGAGTGACAACCTTCCATAGACGTATTAATTTGCAAATAAACAAGCAGAATTGCTTATGAAGAGGAAGTAGAAGAAGTTTACTGAAAGACATTATATAGTTCAGCTCAACAGGCCTCAAAGGCCCAAGGCTTCAACGGGTTTCTTCCATTTCTTTCTATCTTGTGCTAAGTTTTTCCAATCTTGTACCCACAGCGACTTCAGATCTTCTTTTGCCGACTCCAGCCATTTTCTTCGGGAGCGGCCTCTTTTTCTTTTTGTACCAGCCTCCGTGTTTATTAATTCATTGGGAACTCTTTCTTCCTTCATTCTTGCTATATGTCCGAGCCATCTTAATCTTTGAATTCTAGCGAGTCTTGTTATTTTTGGTTGCCCATATATTTGCATTATTTCTTCATTCGTTCTTCTTCGCCAGATGTTCCCCTCTTTTACAACTCCGTATATCCTTCTAAGAATTTTTCGTTCCCATGTATCTAATTTTACTTCCATATCTATATTTAGTGTCCAGGTCTCGCTAGCATAGAGTACTGTAGGTCGGATAACTGTTGTATATATTCGTTTTTTTTGCTATTCTGGATATTATCTTCGACCTCAGTTTCTTAGTCAGGCTCCCAGCACTCTTACTACCTTTGGCCATTCTTTTTATGATTTCTTGGTTCTCTCCGTTCCTATTTGTTAGTGTCACTCCCAAGTAATCGAATTGGCTAACAACTTTAAAGTTATATTCTTTACTTAAGCTTTGTATCTTAAAGGACTGTCCTAGATGATTTTCGTTTCCCGTTATCACCATATATTTTGTTTTTTCTTCGTTTATTTCTAAACCATATTCCCTGGCTATTCTCTCTATTCTAGTAAAGATTTCTTTTAATTCTGCAGGTCTCCTTGTTATTAAGGTAACATCATCTGCATATGCTACGCATTGATGCCTGTGATGATATATTGTGCCTTTAGTGTAGATGTTACATTCTCGTAAAATCTTCTCTAAGATCAAATTGAAAAAATCTGTTGATAACACGTCACCTTGTCACAGACCTCTATTGGTGATAAAGCTATCCGAAACCCGTCCTTCTAACATGACTTTACTTTTAGTATCATTGAGTATGCATTTAGTCAGTCTTACTATTTTTGGTGGAAATTCAAAATATTCTAGTGCTATTATATACTTTATTTCTTTTTATAGTATCATATGCCTGTCTAAAATCAATAAACAGCATGTGTAATGTTTCATTGTAAACATTTGGTCTATTACCGATCTGTTTGCTCTGAAACCTGCTTGATATTCACCTAGACAATTTTCAACTTTTGTTTTAATTTTATTTCTAATTGATATGGCCAAAATCTTATACACTGTATCTTGTAGAGCTATTCCCCTGTAATTTGTACATTCTGTAACGTCTCCTTTTTTATGCACTGGACATAAGATTGCTTCTTTCCACTGATTGAGTATTTTTTCTTTGATCCACATTTCCCGTATTAACTCAGCGATTTCTTCTTGCACCATTTCGCCACCTTCTTTTAGAAACTCAGCAATGATACCATTTTCACCAGGTGCTTTGTTGTTTTTTTAAGTTTTTTATGATCTCTATAATTTCTTCCTTGGTAGGTACTTCTTCATTTACATCTGGGTCCCTTACTTCTTCATGTTGTAATTGCGTTTGTTCTCTTTCATCTTGGTCGTCCGTACATAATATTATGTTCTCGAAATAATTGGCCCACCTTCTTAATTTTTCATCTGTTCCACCTAACAGATTCCCCTCTTCATCTTTATAATATCTTGATGTGGTTTTGTACTGGGTTCGGTCTCGTTTCATTTCTTGGTAGAAATTCCTGACTTGTTTATGTAAAAAATCTTCTTCAATACAAACTAGTTTCTGCTCTAAACTTGACCGCTTCTTCCTTCTACAGATCTTCTTTGCTTCCCGTCTTTTTGCGGCATAAGCCTTTTTACTCTCTTCATTATTTCTGATTATGCTATTTATTCTAGCTTCATTTCGCCCATTAATGGCTTTCTTACAATCTTCATCATACCAATCTGTTTGTTCACATTGTCTGTTTCTTGATAATACTGAGTCGGCTGCTTCTTGAATGTTTTCTTCTAGTTGTACCCATCTGCTTTCTATATCATTTACTGTTGTCTGGCTTTTCAGTTTCTCTTCAATTTGCTGCCTGAATTTTTTCTTAACTTCTTCCTCCTGAAGTAGTGCACCGTTATATCTTTTTATTTTTTTACAACTAGTGTTATTAATTGTGGGTATTATTTGCTCCATTTTAACTTTGACCTAAAAAGTGGTCCGAATTTGCATCAGCACCTCTGTAACTTCGGCTATCTTTTATGGCTATCATATGTTTGGCTTCCATTAATAAATGATCTATTTTACTGTTAGTCCATCTGGTGATACCCAGGTTCCTTTATGAATTTCTTTGTGATCAAAATAAGTGTAGCTTCAGTAAAAATTTCCTCAGAGTATATATTGAAAAGAGTCGGCGAGAGCACACAGCCTTCGCTTAATCCTCGCATGATCTTCACTTGTCTTCACTGGTCTTCGACCTTGACTTGAGCACGCTGCTTCCAGTATAAATTCGTTATGATCCAAATGTCCTTCTCATCCAATCCTACTCTTTGAAGGGCGGCGAATATCTTCTGGTGGTGACAACGGTCAAATGCCTTGGTGTAGTAAATAAAACAAATATAGACATCACAACTGACATCGCGTGATCTTTACAGTAGAACTTGTAAGGTGAAAAGTGCTTCTCGTGTACCCATGGAATTGCGGAATCCAAATCGCATTTCACCGACATTTTATTCGCATTTCTTTTAAATTTTGGCATGAATGATTTTAAGAAAATAATATTTATATTTTATTATATATATATATATATATATATATATATATATATATATATATATATATATATATATATAATATTTTATATTATTATTTATATATGTATAATAAGAAAATAATTAATTTTATATATCCCTCAAGTTTATTCCTTGTAGAACTTCCTGGATACTATTATATTTTTAAAACACTTTAAATGATTGTACTTAGGTATCTAAACAGTCTGCATTTTGTCGCCATTTTTATGTACTTATTGAAATCATTCGGTATAAAATATTTGGCTATTTTTTGTTTTAAATATTTCCTGTTTATATTTCCCTATTCTGCGTTCTATCCAAAATATTCCAAACAAATTTGTCTATTTTAAAAAATATTTGCACAAAAATATCGTTATATGTTATTTTTTGAGTTAATTATGAAGTTTCTAGGTACGTGAATCATAAATATACAAACTCGACTTTATTTATCATCTTCATTTTGTAAATATTAAAGCTCACGATGCTCCGCCGTCATGACACATCAGTTTTATATCCACCGATACCGGCGTATAGTTTACTCTTTTATATGATGTTTACCGGTCAGAAGCATTAATTGATCATTTTCTATCGATTTATTGCTACTATATTGATATAACCTCGTCGATCGAAAATTTTGCATTTTTGATGTTAGTTTTAACTTGCGAGCCCGTAGAATTGAACGTTATGTGAAGTTCGTGGTATGGCGGTTAAAGAAGAGCCCCATGAGGGTATTTTAAAGAAGGCGGACAAAACTAAAGATAGTGAAGATGTTGAAGCTGCAGATAGTAGTGATATTCTTAGGGTAAGAAAATATTTATTTAATCATAATTATTCTCCTTATCCCTGTCTTTATTTTTCGTATATTTATTTCGCTCTGTTTGATTATTTCCAGAATATTTGTCA